GAGTAAGCTGCTTATTTGAATGTCATCTATCAATGTTTTGTAGCATACTAGTTTAGGTGAGATATGGAGTTAGAATGAGATTATCATGGATGATATTTCAATTATATGGTAGATACCGACAAATGAAAAGTGATAATATTGAACCTTGTTCTGTCAATTAGTGACAAAGTAGAATTGATTGGCCTACTCAAATTACAATCCAGGTTGAATTAGACTCCTTACCAAAGAATGTTTGGACATGTCATTCCTACACTTCCAAATGCAATCATGTTGTATTACAAGTGCAAAAAGAGCGTAATGAGATGGATAAAATAATGTGACGCATGCCTTATGGCACAAGGTTTCTCTCAAACACCTTGTGAATGATTGTAGCATTATAAATGTGGTTAGCACTTTCTCCATTGGGGTATTGCTATGGAGATTTACATGTAAGATCCCGAAGAATTACATGAACTAGTTCAAATAGTTATACACCACAGAACACCCTCTCAATTCAAATTAGGCATTTACTTACGGACTAAAACAATTCGAACGAATTTGGTATACCCGTTTAAGTGATTATTTGATTAGTCTAGGATATGAATAAATTATGCCCTTACGTGTTAACCATGAAGTATTTTGAATTGCTAGAGCTACAGTTTATGTTCATGACATGAATCCCACTAAGACTCTAGAAGAGCTCAAGAAAACTGTCTCACACCTGAAGACATAATTTGAGATGAAGGATCTTGTGAAAACTTGATTATGTCTTAACCTAATGGTTGAGCATAGTTCAGATGGTATTCTCACTAGTCGAACTACGCTCAGAAAGTGTTGCTTTTGAGTACACCCACGATCGTACATAAGCAAAGTGCAAATGAGATCCATGAAGAGGTTGTGGAACCCAAAATTCCATATCTAAGCTCAACTTTTCACTTTGTTCTACTTAGCACATTACATTATACAAGACATCTCTTTCGTTGTTCATCTGTTGGTAAAGATAAAGCACTGAGCCTACATGGCGCTACTAAATTGGTATTAAAGACATTTTTTCTTTCTATGGATTTGGGCTTATCCTAGGCATCCCGAGCAAGTCCAACCCCTTGATCCTCATAATGATGCTTGTCTTATTCATTATGCTGATGTGATTACTTATCAAACTCCCAGAAGAAACGTTCCCAAATCATTATGCCTTTACTATTAAGGATACCACAATATCCTGGAGTTGCACGAAATAGATCTTAGTTGCTAAATCTTCTAATTGTTCCAAGTCTCATCGCACCTCACTACACTATACATGGGAAATATAGTTGAGAGCTCTTATTGAGCATTTTTTAAGTATTTGCGGTTTTTCATCCATCGTTGAGTCCCAAAGACGACCCATGAAGACAATGCGACATGTATCGACTACCCCAAGATATGGTACATCAACAAAGTCAATACCAAGTATAATGCGGTCTCATCACATCAATAAAGCATCAAAACATTGAAGTCAACCAAATTCGCTCCAAAGACAACTTAGCCGACCTCTTCACAAAGTCAATGTTGAAGTTTACCTTCCAGAAGCTTGTTCAAGGAATTGGCATGTGTAAATTGTCTAATTTCCAATGCTTGTAGTTCTCATTTGGAAGTTTGTCAAACTCAAGGGATGTATCCAGAGGTATACTCACTTGACCTTAATGTATCTTTTTTCCTACTGTTAGGAGCATTTTGCCCATTGAGTTTTTGCTACCTGATAAGGTTTTAACGAGGCACCCATCCTAGGCTGGTCAATACTGTGGAGCCAAAAATAATCGAGAAAATTATGGAGGTGACACGTGGACTTTTGGGTGAAATGGACAAAATTACCCTTGAGGCACACTGAGATTCCCATGCGCATGCAACGGACAATAACGGCTTAATCAAGGAAGAGTCAAAGGTGATCAAAATGGAATTTATTCAAATCCCCCTTATCACTCCTCATAAAATCCTTATTCAAAAGGTAACTCCCAAAACTTCCTTTTTAATTTGGGATTAATTACCAGGTTAATTGCAAGATATTATTTCACATAATATCTTGCAATTATTCTCCAAATACACCATATATGGCCGGCCACTATTCTCCAAATAGGGCCGGCCACTCCCCTATAAATAGCCCTATTATCCTACTAAAAAATTAAGTCATTTGCTACCCACAAACTCCTAAACACATTCTTTTTTAGAATTCTAACTTTGGCATCGGAGATTCCTCGGCCAAAGCCCCCCATTCATCGTGGGAGCGTGAGGCTTTTGGCCTTAATCTTAGGTGTTATTATTTTGCAAGTGCATTTTCGTCAAAGGAGAAGATGGCAAAAATTTGCATCCACAAATACCATTGTGTGTGTCCTACTTGCGTCATGAAGGAGTTTAGTTTTGACTTAATACAACTTCTCACTTTTCTCCTTAGATTATGATTTTTATCCTACATTGGGTTTTACCTTAGCGAGGTTTTGTGAATTTTACTACCTATGCATTCTTTCAATGTTTTGAGACTCACGTTCGCTTATTGTGTTGACTAGACGAGACGACTTCATCAACTGCTTCTATACCATCCATGAAGATCTAATGCACCCTGTACTTGAGCATTTTCATACTAAAGGGGGGCAGTGTTGTGACATTAATTCTGACACATGTGTGATTGTGTGAATCCTTGGTACATTTGGTTTACTCTTTCTGTTAGCGATTCTTTCCTATTGGGATTTGTATTACTTGGAGAGCAAGTTTTTTCTCCTCATGGTTTACTATAAATAAAGGCATAGGCAAAGAGAAATACACATTCAATAAATTCCTCAGTTCTCTCTCTCTCTCTCCTCTCTCGCACCACTGAGAGAAAATAGGCTACAACATTATTTGAGTTTGTGAGATTGTTAGAGATGTTATCATAAACCCTCAATTTTAACTAAAACTACAAATATTATTTTATTATTATTATTATTATTAAATAGATTGGAGAATGGAATTATGCAAGATTAGCTATTTAATAATAGTTACAAGCAAGGCATCTACACTCTCAAAACGAGAGAAGAGTATTACACCCAGAAACTCTTGCTCTACCCTCTTTTAAATTAAATTTGCGGAAATTAGTTTATAGAACATTTAGCACTTAAAGAGAATGGAGGAAGGAAGAATAATGTTCTTGGCTTATTTTATCCTGCAGAAATATTCTCCATGTAGAGACGAATAGGTGAGTTTCTAGATTAGTCAAGTAAGCATTCAAACAGAGATGCCTATCTTGGTTCAAACATCTTATTGTTGTTTTAGTAAATCTAACAGGATACATGACTACTGTGTATATGTACGCAAATATTAGATGCACTGGATCTCATAAGTCACCTTGTTTAGGTTCGAAACACTTTGAATTTTTGAGCTTAATACACATTGTCGTTCATCTGTCACTTCTGGTTGACTGGTCAGCATAAAATCTGAAAACCTCAGGACTCTAATTGAATTGACCGGTTTGTTCAACCAGTAACTAGTATATTCATAAAACTTTCCAACAAACAATGGGTTCGATCTGGTCTTTCATGGTTTAGAAAGTAGCTGGGACAAATACCTGCTTTGTATTCTCTTTTGCTGCCCCCACCCACCCATTCTAAAACAAATCTTTTCATAGACTAGTAATGAACCTGTTTACTATTATTAATGTGAGCAAGAACAATTAAGTAATTCAAACAGCAGTATTAGCACCCTTCCCAACTTCTAATCCTGGTTTTCTCTTATCTGATGTAGAGTTCAGCTCGAATACAAACATATTGATATATTGTTGCTCATGGGCTTTGTATTAGCATGCACTTTGCATCTTTGCAGCAAGTGGTAAGCCCAAAGAGATTGAATAAGTATTTCAAGCATGTTTCATATAACTGCTCATCCAAATATTAACTGTGCCCAATGTATTGATAGAAGAGGCCTGAGAGAGAGATGTGACCAAGGAAATAACATATTTTTGGAATTGTTAGAAAAGTATACGAGGTTGTGCAGATTTCAATATTTTGGGAAAATGACTAGATTGGAATTATGTAGTTGGAAGCACACTTGCTAGCTTGCATTGGCATTTACTAACAAACATTAATCTTCTTGTTCTTTTTGTTGGGTGACAAGACGGATGGGAGGAAGCACAACAATGCAAAAACACCTAGGCCTGCGGCACCCTAATAATTAAATGGTGACTGACTGGCTTGAAGCTGAAGACCGAAAGACCGATTAGGATTGCAGTGCGAAAGATTGAGACTCTGTGAACTTATTGCAATTCAGTCATACCATATATCGAAGAATTTCATTTTTGTGGTAGTGTTTTTTTGGTGATTGGTGATGGAAATGATAGAGTGAAATTTCTATGCTTCCTAAAAATGCAGCCATATCAGGAAAAAATGGACACAATCAGTGATCAACATGAGATATTCTCACTATCTAATGGACGGATGGTGTACAATATATTGGTTTCAAAAGAGTTTCTCACAGAGGAATTATGAACCTGCAACCATCTGCTAACTTTGGCCAAGCATGCCCTCTATTTATTTTTATAAATGAAGAAAATAACAACCAAAACATGTGCTACACATGTTTCATGTTATTGATGGCCTGGTTTAGAATACTAGTATCGAATGGTTCCAAAGAAATAGTATAGGCAACTACGCTCCTGTGCTTCTCATTAGCAGAATGGTTAATGGGGCCAAGGAGCCTGTTTAAGACAAGGAATTAAAATAAGAGCATGATTTGAGAGATAAAATTCCAAGTCCATACGGTACTACTATGCTTTTATATAGTTTCTTCCCTGTCTTGATCTTTTGATGGATGTGGAGGTTATGAATATTACGATGCATAAGGAATTAAGATCAACAACAAATTATATGCATTAGCAATCGACAAACACCTGGCGACAAATTTGAGTTTAACATACTCTTTATTTGTCTTACCATTGTAATTTATAATTTTCTTGTTGGCTTATCTGTGATGCATCTCCTTCGAAAGTAAGTACAATAAATTTCCAATAGTTCTTGCATGAGTTAGTCATAATCATCACGTACTTTTTAAATTTCAATCAATTGCCTAAGAAGATAATGAACCAGTGCACTCAAATATGGAGCAACCAACGTTTGAAAATTTCCTATATACACCAATGTAATGCGTGATGAGAACAGTATCTCGATTGTCTATTTATTAAAGTGACAACTTAATTAGAATTTCAATAATGAACAGAGTGAAGATTTTTGAAGAAACACGCACGAAAGTTGAACTATTAGTCCTACTTGAGCTTTAAACCATGGAAAAGCCAATGTGGCTGCTTTCTTTCTTGGTCACATGTCGCACTAGAGCTGCTCATGGGAGTTGTGGGATCACTGCTATCTCCTCCTCTATCTGATTTGAATGAGGCAGGCGAATCGAGTTCTTTTGCTTTATGGATCAGTTCTGAACATCCCGACTGAGGCTGGTAAGATTTCGATCTCTTCCTGTTCTTGCTACTTCCGATGCTTAATGAAAGCTCCACTTCACTATCTTCATCACAGCCAGTTACACTCTTACTTTTGAGGGACATGTGAGAGCTTGGCCCTGCTTGTTCTTGGTCAATTGTACTGAATCTGGTTGAGATGTCTTCCTCGGCAGGCCTTTCAAGGTCAAATCCCCTTGACATTCTCAGAGTGTCTCCCGAGCAACTTCCACTACGCTCTCTAGAGTTCGGATCATCCCTCAATCTCTGAAAATGGAAATTATATCCAGAAGAAGTTTGAGTTATTGAATGCTGCCAGTTAATCCACTGAGATTGGTTAATGTGATCTGCACTACTGGTTATTGGGCCGCAAAGTCTATTTTGTTTAATCTTTTTCTTCAGTTCATCCATTAGCATCTTTTGTACACTGTACAGACGGTGTAGCTCTCGAATCTGCAATATTTGGTTTTTTGGTTAGGACTGCTGTCATCAGTTTCAAAAATACTAAATCTATGAGACAAAAACAATCTGATCTGACAAGTATAAGACTTAGGATCTAATAAGCAAAAAAGGTGTAATCAAATTGTGTCTTGGAGTAATTTGACTGGTTTGCTTATCCAGAAAGGTATGGTTGGATGAGAAATTTAGATGTCGGTGACTGAATGGCTATAAAATCAACTTCCCAAAGCTTAATATTTGCATTTCCATGAAAACCAAAAGAACTCATGCTTTGTGGAACATGATCAGCATACAATTCGAGCTGATACATGCATTAAAGTTGATCATACCTGGTGTTTAAACGTATCTTCATGCATCTGCATCGTACTTTTTATGGTATCCATGTTGTGCTTGTCCAGCGTCCTGTCCATCGAGTTCCGAAGTGTGCCCCTCAACTCTAGCCTTCTGATACTTCTCCTTCAGCCCAGTTTTCTGAAAATAGTCCCAGTCATCCACCTGATGCACGGTTAAGCTGCAGCTATTTTGTGACCTTCCTAAAATATTGATGGCATACTCAATTTTCATTCCCATTCCTGGAGTAATATAACAGTTAAAAAATGTTGGTAACTACAGGGAAACATATAATTTGAGGAAACACACCGAACTGTTATTATTGTATTATGAGATCTGCCACAGTAACTCTTTTTTCCAAACAATTGTTATAAGATTAAACTTTGTGTACAAGATATCATTTACAAAGCAATGAACAGAAGAAAATTAAAATTTAGAAAAAAAGAACTTTTACTGATTTGAGTGGAGTAGGTATGATATATAAACCCACTAAATGAAGGTGGAAACACAGTCTAGTTGGACACCAGGTCTACTACTTATCCTACCGCGTCTAACACCAAGGAATAATTGAATTGGTGTGACCATTTTTGAATTATCTTGAATCCCAAATGCAAGTGAACAAATCTAACCCATCAGGGTAGTGGAAATCTATCTCTCAAAATTCACTGACAGTTGGCTTTTATATACTACATTCGTGCTCCAAGATTTTATTTGTTCCCTTTTCGGTGTACAAATTCAAGCAGCATTTCGGAATAGGACTCTTGTTCACTACATGACCGAATATGTCAAATAAAGGGACTTTTTTTAAGGTGTTGGATGAAGGATGAACAAAAAAGAATGGCCCAGAATTGTGTCACGGCAGCTCCGAAAGTGCGTAATCCGAAAGTTACCAGACACAAAAAGGAGGAAAAAGGAAAAATGGGATGTGGGCAAATAGTGAGACCAGATATGGAATGTGGGTGGTCTACTCTATTTTTCCTTTGTTAGTACAATATTGCTGCTGGTGTAATCACAGTAGCCTTCATTTTTATCAAATTGCTCTCCACAAGTGCCCACCTCTTCCTGTTTCTATTGAAGCTGAAGACTTTATATACATATGCTGAATCTACATTGCATGAAATAGAAAATAAAAAGGATCTGCTGCAATTCACAATTAAGCACGGTTGATTATCTATGAAAAAAAAAAAAAAAAAAAAAAAAAGGATCTCTTTCACCTTTAACTGTTTTGGCATATATAGATATATCTCTATCCATACACAGAAACCAACTATTAATATTCAAGAATTATGATTTCCCAGACGACCAGAACTTCCAAAAATGGCTCAAAATATATGAGAACAGGAAGGAAAAGAAAAGCAAGAACATCAACATCTAGGCTTACTGAATCATGGAAACTTTTGTTACATACAGTTGAGGTATATTTTTAGTATCACCTGAAATAGAAAGAGCAGCATAAGTGGAGATTGTCTAGTGTGAGGCTCATTGAAAGGTTTGCTTCTTCATACCAATAATACTATGACATTGGTGAACCAAAACAACCCAATAAGTAGAGAATTAAGATAAGCATCCATCAATATCATCAGTCATTTGATCTTCCGTACTAATCGGAGTGGAGTGGACGGAGCAATCTAAGCAGTGCAGCTAGCAAATAATTTGAGCCTCCTCCTCCTACGGGTATTAATTGGGAGAAGATTCTTGGACACCTCTACACCAGCAAATCTCTTTGGGAGGGCAAGGCAGGCCAACATTAATTTTTCCAAGCTCCCCACTGAATTTAATTAGAGAAACAACAAAGCAACAAACCCCATCCTCCCTTACTCCTCTCACTAATTAAACAATTCTTAATCATGTTCTCGGTCATGTTAATAATTCAGGATTGACAGGCTGTGAAGTTAGGAGGCATGGCAAAAAAATGGTAAAATATACCTATGTCTTGGTGTGCACAATATTCATATATACTGAGAGAGAGAGAGAGAGAGAGAGAGAGAACGAGATAATTAAAATTTTGTTAAATATTATTCATACATAGTATTGTTTGATGCTGTATTTTAATTTTATATATATTTGATTTGTAACATGGAGAAGATCAAATTTGTGGGGTCCACAGAAGCGTCATATATGATGGAAACCAAATGACAATCCTAATACATGCGCCGAGGTGGGCTGGACAAGATATTCCAGACAAAGTCTTACAAAACATCAAAGATTTGTATGAAATAATATTGATGGAAACCTGGTGCTTCTTTCCCAGAACAACACCAATCTTATTATAAATCTTATATTTTCCCCAGTATACAAATAAAACGATCCATATTTGATTATATCTCCGTACCATGAAACAATATCTAATCCAGGTTGTTATTCGAGTTTTTATGATAGTACAAAATGCAGATGTTGGAGTTCCATAATTGTATTTTAAATCCCCTTGCATAAGCAAGTAAATCATCTTCTCTGAGAGTTATTTTATATCGGTAAATTTGATATACATTGTTGACTTATTGCTTAACATCTGAAAGTTTTTCGAGGCTAGTAACAATATCTGAATAAGATACCACATAAATATTTTTCCATAAAAAGAGGAAGGAAAGTTTTTAATTTTTTTTTTAATAATTTGGAGACCAATTCTATTAATTATTCAGGTTTTGAGTTTTTTGACAGCTAGCCATGATTCGATCTTGGGTTAAGGTTGCATCTGAATTAATGCATAGTATATGGGGTCTTAAACTAGATTAAACCACCTACCATAGTTCCAAATTTATCAATATGGGTTCCCGAAGTATTTAGGAAATGATAGAGAAAAGAATCTAATATGTGTCTTAATCAAATCCAGAAAGCCTTATCCATGCCTTGTCTAAAGGGTAATTTTCAATTATAAACATGAAAGATTAAGAAACCAAATCCATAACGTTTGTTGCTTATGTGTAAACTAAACATGCAGATTCAGTAATTAATCATTGGCATCTGTTCTTAGGGGCAACGATTTTCAACCATTTTTACTTTAATCTTCTATGTATTTCACAAAAATAAAAACTTGCATCGTCCTATAACGGGGTGCACATATCTCTTCATATGCAAATAACGTGTCTTGAACATATAAATTCAACGATCGGAACCATTGAATTTCATTATATGAAGATCACTCTTACAAAAAAAACATTTGAATAAAAAATCGTTTAATCATTCAAGCGTATAAAATAAATGAATGGTTCATCAAGAATATATTACTTGATACATACACCGGTTATTTGTTATATACATTTCCATGACTAAATGATTTCTGATTCAAATGATTTTTATAGGGGTGATCTTTAAATGAAGATTAAGAAATTGAACTGTTCTGATTATGAAATTTGTACGGTGAATATACATTATTTGCATGTGGGAAATTAGTTCATTCCTTAAAAGGGAGAATGAAAGTATTATCCCAAAAAATAATATGGTCGATCGAGGCATAAGATAAAATGATAGTGTGAAAATCAACAATTATCTGCTTGTTGTGAGCTTATCAATATTTAAAAAATTAAAAATTAAAAAAATTAAAAACTTAAAAAAAAATTTAAAAAAAAAAAACCGAAATTTGAAATAATCAAGTCTAATTCAATCCTTAAGAAGTAACCAATAGATAGTGTAGTTTAAATGTTTGGAATTTTACTTCTCCAAAAGATTGATGCAAAACAATTATAAACCATAGAGATTAGAGATGAGGGAAGGGGAAACTTGGCACACATCACTTTCATCAAAAACATAAAAGGGCCAAAAACATAGCTGTTCCAAGCGATTAAATAAAAATCCCACGGTAGCTTCAACTACATATGACGTTGATATATATGAGAAAAAATATGTGAACGTGGATTTGGATTTGGAAGTGGGCATGCCTTTGCCTTTGCCTTCTCTTCTCTAAGACTTTTTCTAGTGTAGATTTAAGTTACCACTTAGTATCTCTCAGACACTGGATGTTTTAATCTTGTCCACAAAGTCGAATGGGAAGGTTACAACGAAAAGTGCCTATTTTTTAGCTTGGATTGGTGGAGAAGTCAATGGACAAGAGAATAGCAGTTCTTCGATTACACATGAGGTGAAATTTTTGTGGAAGGGTTTGTGGAGAGCTCGGGTACCTGAGAAAGTAAAGATTTGCGTGTGGCGATGTTGTATGAATGTGTTACCAACACGGGACAATCTAAAAATAAAGAAAATCACTACGGATGCTGCATGTATGTTCTGTAACGGTGAAGAAGAAAGCTTGGTGCATTTGATGAGGGATTGTCCTAGAATGACTTCGATTTGGTTAATAAGCCCCGTTGGGTCTATGGAGTAGAATAGACACCAGGGGACATTTGGTGGATTGGTTCACAAGACTGGCTAGTGATTTATCAAGAGAAAGCTTTGATTTGTTACTTGTGATTATTTGGAGCATTTTGAAGGAACATAACTCGTTTTTATGGCAAGGAAAGGCTCTTGAACCGTTGGAGTTGGTATCCAGAGGACAAAGTTGGTTACAGGAATTCCAGTGTTGGCATGGGAAGAATCAAACATGCAGCAGCAACAAACCAAAGAAATAGAAGAAACTGGAATTGGGCTGGGTAAAATGTAACTTTGATGCGGCCTGGGATGAACAACATGAGGTAAGTGGTGTTGGGGTGGTGATTCGAAATGAGAAGGGGGAGTTTATAGCAACAAAGGCGACACAACACACTGCTATTTGTTCCCCGCAGCTGGCTGAGATGATGGCAGCAAGGGACGCGGCTATGTTTGTCAAGGAGTGGCAATTCCCAGCTTTGGTTCTTGAAGGTGAGGCTTTGCTTGTGATGGCAGAACTAAAAATTGAAGGAAGTGATGACACCTCACATTTTGGAAACATTCTAAATGACATGTATTCAATTGTCCATTCATTGCCAAAGTGGAAGGGAGACGAACAAGGTGGCACACAGGCTAGCGCGTATGAGCTTGAGTTATGGAAACGCTGTGACTTAGTTTGAGGAACCCCCTGATGTAATTCTTGATCTTCTCTTTGAGGATAGTAATTCCTAATTATTTATGTTGGTGCGGGATACTCTTTTTCCCCTAGATCGGGTTGAAAACCCCGTCAAGGTTTTTATCGATGCCCTATGTTAGCACCCTATCCTCATTGATGTACGTATCCATTTCTTATTAATGAATATTGTACCTTTTCAAAAAAATAAAATTTGTTAGATCATTTAACCTAAGAGAATTTAATGACTCTTGCTTAAAAATGTAACTTATATTTGTACCTTTGATGTGCAAATATAGAAAATTCATCCCTTCTCTTGTCTTGTACTTGTGTGGCTTCTCATTATCTGATTCTTATGGTATCATGAGCTTCGGTCATCGTCTGTATTGGTTGTACTCCCCTTATTGGACGCAATTTCATAGTTTCATGAGTGCGCTTGAACATGCGCTAATTCCACACGAATGCGTACTTTTACATGGGTGATGCTATCCAAACACCTATTTTTACCTCTCACACACTTCTCTTAATTTTCAGCCGTCAAATTGTGTGAATTGAAGAAGATCAATTGACAAAAATTAGTAAGTGTGCGTGATAAGTAAAATGGGGTGTGTGAATAGCACTATCCCTTCTACATATGCAGTTTGCTAGTTTGGATAACTAGGGTTTTTCTATAACTATTTCATTTTTTTTTATATTTTAGTGTTTATGTGTGAGATAATAAAAAAATGAGAGTTTTAATGAAAAGTGTTTGGACCATGTTTCTTTTAATTTTAACAAAAAATTATCCTATAACTTTATTTAATAAAAATGGCTTAAATTTGAATGAAAATAACTTAAATTTTAATGAAAATGACAAAAATTTATTATAATAAAAAACTGATGTGCAGGACCCTGCGCGTCAATCACACACTTTTACTCCTCTCCCTCACTATTTCTTAAACTGAACACTAACTATTTTTGAAACTAAACACCGACTATTTCCAAAAACTGAACACGGGTACTATCCTTATTTCTTAAACTGAATAGGGACTATTTCTGAAAACTGAACACCGATAAATCACTATTTCTTAAACTGAACACTAGTACTGTTATTATTTCTTAAAATAAACATTGACGGTTTCTTAAACTAAACACATGTACTACAATTTCTTAAACTGAACATTGGTAATATCACTATTTCTTAAACTAAACACTGACTATTTCTGAAACTGAACACGGGTTGGTGTGCACCTAGCACATGCTTTTGGTCGGATTTTTTTTTTTTCCTTTTTTTTTCTTTTGTCCTTGTGATTAAATAAAGTTATTAGATAATTTTGATTAAAATTCAAAGTATAAAGTCATTTTCATTAATTTTCCTTAAAAAAAATGGAAGGATATAGAAGTGAAAGGAGAATAGTGGGAGAGATGTAGGATTGTGACCACATAGGTTTTAAGTCATTATAAATAGTTAGAATTTGACTCTTCTATCCTTATCTCTCTTTCTCTTTCTATGAATGTCATATGAGCTTTAAGCTATTATAAATAGGGATTTAGATCCTCTTTGGATCACTTTTGTGGGGATCCTCCGGACTGAATGATCTCATCAATTGATACAAATCCAACGGCCAAAATCTCCTCCTTCCCCTCGTCCCCTCAACTCTTCTCTTTCTCTCTCACCTCGAATCTCTCAACCTCAAACCACCAAACAACCCACCCAACCCACAACCCCCAATTGTAGGTCCCTCACCTTACCCTCCCCAAAGTCAGCCGCAGCACCTCCACATGCCTCAATTGTAGATCCCTCGACCCTTAAATCTCAGTCGATGTTAATGAAACAACAAATAGAGGGGTCATGCAAACTGGTATCTTTTGGTAGCAGGGATCATTTTCATAAATATGAAAAAATTATAGAGATAGATAAGCAAAGTTATAGTAGAGAGAGAAATCTCAA